TTATGCTATTTTACCTTAAATAGGGTATTTAGGTCATGTCTAATACTGATGATCATGTGCTAAGAACAATTAAGTAGGGTTGGTTCGAAGACTATCAAGATGGTGAACGTATGACTTGTTATTAATAACGAGTAGAAGTTGTATGATGATGATTAGTAGGACTTGTTAGGATTAGTATTACTTCCGGAAAACTCGCTACTCGCGGTCTCGAGACTTGTAATGTTCTATCTTTGTTCGGTTTTTTGAGTTCGGAGACTAATATGATGAATTGTATTCGGAGACTAATCTTCTATTGTATTCGATGAATCTGCTGTTGATGTGTGGTGTTGTCTATATTTTGTCCAATAATATATTTTGTAACCTGTTAAAATATCAGAAAAGAAAAAAATAATCCCTAATATTCATACTAGTGGCGCACCACCACATAGTGCGCCATTAGTAAGCCAGAGCACACTAATGGCGCATCATCCACCAGTGCGCCATTAGTATGCCAAAGCACATGGGTAAATATGGCCCCCTGGGAGGCATACTAATGGCGCACCGTGGGCTATACTAATAGCGCACTGCGTGGTGCGCCATTACCAGATACTAATGGTGCACCAGTGGTGCGCCATTAGTAACAAATTCTAATGGCGTGGTGCTAGTGGCGCACCTGTAGTGCGCCATTAGTAGGCAAAACAGGTGCGCCACTAGTAGGCCTTTTCCTAGTAGTGTTTATTGATCACGTGGTCAAAAAAGAATGCTGACAATTTCTCTTGAATTGCTCGCATGCGATCTGGTGCTAGGAGTTCATCCCGCGTCCGAAACATCTAATTTGAAGAAGGGGGTCAATACATATATATGAATGAATGAAACTCAACACAAATGATGGTAATAAAATAAAATTGTGAATATTATTGCTTACGCACTTCATATTGTTTTTTAGTGTAGCCCCGCTCACAGGTCGTGTGGCAGATGGACTCGCAAACGTAGTATCCACAGTAATTATTCCCGGCTTCCTACCACAACCACTTTACAAGAAATAGAGGTCAATCAAACTGATAAGCAAGCATGCTAAATGGTATTGATGAAACTAGCACTTGAATCACTAGGAGATGCACAAAACATGCTAGTAGTACTTACTTTGGGGTGTTTAAATTGCAGCTTCTTCGGCAGTCCCGGAGCTTTTGAGGTGAATTTTTTCAAACCCTGCCAGACAAAGAAAACAATTACTTGATAACAGGTAATGAACAAAGTTGCCGATATGGTGCGATAATGATCGATTTAACTTATTTCTCGAGCATTTGAGTCATGTCCGCATACTCCTGGGGATCTTTTCGTCTCGAGTCTAAGACGGTTACTAGTCCCTGCTCAAACTTAATCTCTAGGAGAATATAGTGGAACCTACGCACGCATGCATAACTCATCAATTACATTACTATAACCTCGACTAATAAGGGAAACCGAATACGCACAAGAAAGTAACACTCACCGAATATGCACGAGAAAGTAACACTTACTATAACCTCGACTAATAAGGGAAACCGAATAGGCAAAAACTGAATGCACTTCGTGTACAAAACGGACAATCTCTTTCGAAGTATCAGGGTTTCATACGGAAACGCGTCTGTTACCAAGGGATTTCATTTTTTAACTTATTTGAACTCCAGACTTTTTCTGTGTTCAAAATGCACCATTCAAAGCCACATCATCAATTTTCAACCCTTTCTGACTTCATTTGTTATTTTTCATGAATTTACTAATTATTTTGAGCTATAAGACCCTGGAACTGAAAAGCATTTCAAATGAACTATGAAAAGGTTGAAAGTTGGCATGATATCATCATTTCATCCACATAGCATGTGCAAGAAAGTAGAGAGGGTTACAGCAAAAACTGGATGCACTTCGTGTACAAAACGGACAATCTCTTTCGAAGTATCAGGGTTTCATACGGAAACTCGTCTGTTACAAAGGGATTTCATTTTTTAACTTATTTGAACTCCAGATTTTTTCTGTGTTCAAAATGCACCATTCAAAGCCACATCATTAATTTTCAACCCTTTCTGACTTCATTTGTTATTTTTCATGCATTTACTGATTATTTTGAGCTATAAGACCCTGAAATTGAAAAGCATTTCAAATGAACTCTAAAAAGGTTGAAAGTTGGCATGGTATCATCATTTCATCCACATAGCATGTGCAAGAAAGTAGAGAGGGTTACGACAAAAACTGGATGCACTTCGTGGACAAAACATACAATCTCTTTCAAAGTATCAGGGTTTTATACGGAAACTCATCTGTTACAAAGGAATTTCATTTTTTTAACTTATTCGAACTCCATAGTTTTCTGTGTTCGAAATGCACCATTCAAAGCCACATCATCAATTTTCAACCCTTTCTGACTTCATTTGTTATTTTTCATATATTTACTGATTATTTTAAGCTATAAGACCCTGAAATTGAAGGCAACATATAGCTCTCATGAATAGATAAGTGACCAAATTAATAGAAGTTCATCATCACATTAAAACCAAAGTACATACATAGTTCTCATTGAACAACATATAGCTCTCTAGAGCATCTAATTAAACCATACATTGAAATTATGTAAAACATTTCAATGCAACAACAAATGCGATCATAATCACAACCAAGGTACCAATTAATCCAACTGCATAATGATACCAAGCCTCGGTATGAATGGCATATTTTTTAATTTTTCTAATCTTCAACCGCATTGCATCCATCTTGATCTTGTGATCATCGACGACATCCGCAACATGCAACTCCAATATCATCTTCTCTTCCTCATTTTTTTTATTTTTTCCTTCAACTAATTGTTTACTTCTTCAACTAAATTTAATCTCTCGACAATAGGGTCGGTTGGAATTACCGGTTCAACCACCTCCTAAATAAATAAAATCTATGTCACGTTGGTCGGCATAATTGTCATAAACAATAAATGAACCAAATAGTTATAAAAAGATAATATATACCACATCGGAACATAGACAGGACGAGGGCCGAAGGGAGCGGATACCAAAATCATCGCACTATATAATAACAAGGAATAATAAAAGTAAGAAAATTAGACAAGTATCTATCTGAAGTAAGAATTTTTTTTCTTTCAGAAAGAAGATAAGAACAAGAGGCTCACCATGGTGGTGCCGGCAACGAGATCGGCGCGGGCGATCGACGGCGGTGAAGACGGGGACGGGACGTGATGGACCGCTAAACCTACACAAATCTCAGGGAAAATGGAGCTTGGAGGTCGAGTTTCGAGAGGAGAAAGATTAACTAGTGTGGCTCACACATTTCATCGAACACCTCATGTGCATAGGAGGTGAGCTAGAGCACCCAAATGCCCTCCCCTCGCTGGCCAGAAAAAACAGAGCACTGTGAAGTGCTCTGCTGTGGCGATGGGGTATATATAGGCAAATCATTTGTCCCGGTTCGAGGTTGGAACCGGGACTAAACCCCAACCTTCTGTCCCGGTTCAAGCTAAGAATCGAGATCAATGGTTGTGGGTCAGGAGCAAGGCCCATTGGTTCAGGTTCGTGCCTAAGACCAGGACAAGTGGATCCATACGAACCGGGACCAATGCCCACGAGGCCCCGACCGACCCCCTAGGCTCACGAACCGGGACGAATGCCCCATGGGTCCCGGTTCGTGACTGAACCGGGACTAATGGGCTTGCCATGCCCGAACCAAAGCCCTGTTTTCCACTAGTGTATAAGTGTAGGTCGAATTAGTACCTAAAACTTTTTAAGGTTGTACATCAAATATTGATGTATGTCTGCTATTTTTTAAGAATTTACGAACTTGATTTATATCTTAAAAAATGATTTCACATAAAGACAGATTCAGGAGCAACTAGTGTAGGATCTGACTTTACGTGAGATCAATAAGATCAACTTCACTTCCTCTGGAACGGTGTACATTTTAGAGCCTGTTTGGTAATCCACTAGCTCCCTAAAATCCTACGCTCCGGCTCCTCCAAGCGAGCTCCGGCTCCTCCATCGATCGTGAGAGTGAGGAAACTGTTCGGCTTGATCGCTCCGCTCTGGTTCATGAGATGGGCCGAAAGCTCGATCTGGCCCGGGACACATACGTAGGGGAGGTGGTAGGATAGAAAAGGCATGAGAGACAGAACGCCAACGAATCGGTATGCCACTTATCGGTGGCAGTCTACCGTAAATTTGACGAACTCCTTCGCCTGTGGGGTCTGTGAAGCACCTCATTCCTTGCTCTACGATTTTCATCCACAGATCGCTTTGCTCCGCTCTCTTGACTCCAAGGAGTTGCAGCGTTCAGGTCGGCTTCGCCCAATCCCGGAACAGAGTTGTGAAATGGAGTGGATCCGAACAGGCCCTTACTCACCAGCTCCTGCTCCCTGACCGGTGGACCGCGACAATCGACCCACTAGTCAGGAGTGACGTGGGCGAAGACTAGTCTGGTACTGCCTCTGTGGGCTGTGACGGTGGTGCAGGCCCACCTGAGAGGGGGTAAAGGTTAAGACCAAGACAAATTTATTTATTCATTTTATGATTGCTTTAACAGGGAATAAATTCCTGAACTGAACCTGTAGAACTTTTTGTGGCCAAAGTATATCATCTACTCCTACTTTTGAAATCAAAAGGAAGGATGATATCAGCAACCGTGTACATATTCTTTCTGAAAAGATCATAGTGGGTTAACAGTTGATCATAGTGGATAAGAGTGAAAGATAGCCACCGGAACAAGATGCAAGACGCAATGAGAATCTCGGAGTTTTCAACAAACTTTTGTACAGCGGAAAGCAACGGCCTGTGTTTAATTTACTCAAAACGGTGAGAAGTATAACTGATAAGCAAGATACAAATGTTAGCGTACGTGTGGAAGCAAATCAAATAAAGGAATACAACGATCATGACCTGACAGGAAGTGAAAACCACATCAAAATTCGGTCGATCCTATAGGCAGGAACACACCGGGTCAGTCATCTACGACACAAGAGAGTTGACAGTAGCATCTGAGCTCATTCATCTCCACGCTTCTATCCGTTCGACCGTGGAGTTTAACCGGCTCACGATGCTTGCACCTCGTGATTTTTTCTCGGTTGGAGGAGCGACGGCGGGTGTTCCGGACTGCCCCTTGCCCTTCCTTGTCCTCCTACTACTATTCAGGCTACGGCTCCCATTGCCTTGCAGTGAGTTCAGTGCTGCAGCCAAGGAAATATCAGTGGTGGCTGAAGCAGCAGGTAGAGGTTGGGACCATCGACAAGAGCCCACTGTGTTCAATATCTGGCCAGAAGGTGCAGAGTCTCCTCCGGTAGGATTGGTCTCGTTAGGCTTGTCTTCGGTGCTGTGTGCAGGGCTGTTCAAAAGGGGTTCCTCGCTGAAGAAAGAAGGACGCCTTGATCCTTCCGCACGGTGAGAATCAACGGCGAAGCCAGGGTTATGATGCCCGTTTTCATCAGACGGGTCCTTTTGGGGCAAAGACACATCGTCCAGATTGGACTCCTCTCTATCCTTCAGGGTCTTCTCTATTAGCATCTTGAGAAAATTCATCACTTGGACTGCATACATTAGTGCAGTCAAAGGATCTGCCATCTGCATGATATTGTCACCAGTAAGCTCCTAACCATATGATTATCAGAATTTAGCAGTAAACATATTGCCAGTTTGCTGCTAGGACGATTTGTCACCTGAGTCATATTTGGTGCAAAAACCATAGCAATGTTTCGAGTATTCATCTTGTTTATCTTTTCTTCTTGGACGACATCAGCCATCAAATTAACGGCCCAGTCAAGTAAGGCCGCTTCAGCTAGTGGGAGGCATTTGGCAACCCGAGCACAATCCTCTTCAGATTGGCATTGCATCACCTGTTCAGGTGGAATAGGGTCCAGCACCCCGCTCGGCAGTTCTCTAAACCATGCCTGGAAAGGATTGGAAAGCAGATGAGATGATGACCTACCTTTTGTCATCAAATATGTCGGCAAGCAAGTAAAGTTTACTAGCTCAAGAGAATAAACAGTCAATGTCAACATAGTTGACAGCAGCCATAACTGGTTCCAAAAGCAAGATTTTATTCTGCAACAGAAGATTGCTCAACTTGTATATTTAGAATAAACAATAAACCTGTGACAATATCTTTGTGAAAAAAATCAAAGATTAGTTTCCACTCAGAAAGGACGTCTGTATTCTCCGATAGGTGTTGATATAAATTTCCACCGATGAATATAATCACAACCATTAATAACTCTCTGATTACTATACATATGCTTAGGAAACTACTGATTTCAACAGAATCACATAGCTTACATGAAAAAAAGAAACTTACTTTTATTAGACCTGACAAACAGTGGACATCAATACCATACGGCACGATTCCGCTGTTTAACCGGTCTCTCACAAGCTCCTCCTGGCTATTCTCTGGATTTATACGAAAAATACCTTCTGCCTGCACATTACAAGCAAGATGATATTTACTTGTCAGAAAAAAGCTACAAACACGTACAAAAAGCAAGTAATACTCAAACTCATTACTGAAAGGCCATACCCGAAGACCACCTTGTTCATAAAGACGTCTCTGCATCATCAAGAGAATTGTCGGAACACTGTTTCCTCTGGGATCATACGAACACTGCATTGATTCTGTTGAAACTCCAAAGACACTTGCGCTGCATTTTAAGTTTCAATCAGCTGAAGGACAGCAACAACCAAAGTAAACAAAATATGCTGCAAAGTTAAGGATGCAAGAACCAGATTTCAATATTTTAGACGGTTCCAAAACAATTTATAGCAACAATGGCATGAATGTAAGGATGCAAACAATTCTATTCTAATTTAGGCACTGCATATGCTGATTTGATAATCTGAGAAACTATTTTCTGAATTTTTCAGGAAATTTGGCCGTTCAAGAATTTTTCCTATGGCTGAATGAGCATGACCATATACTTCAGTTTTATTGATAAACTACCATAAATCCTCCGGTTGGACGAGCTCCTATTGGTGTTTGTGCCACATTATCTTGTATTGAAGATACTACTCTAGGTCCCGTCTTCCTATAAAGTAGAAACTGCGTATGGAGCCATTTCCTCCATTCTTTCTAGACATTCTAGAAAGACTGAACAAAAAATACTAAACAATGCACCCCTATGCACTTTCATAGCAAGCATAAGCAAATATTTAATACATAGCACAAACAGAAGCGATAAGGGAGCGTGAACTTTAAACTTATCAGGTAAGTTCTTTTCCCTATTGAAAAATGTAAGTACTGCTTTAGAAATAAGAAATTGGAACCAGTATTAAAAACATTGGTAATTTCAAAATGAACTGAAGAACATTAAATTATTTTGGTAGTTTTATGAAAGTCAAAAACGAACTGAAATAAAAGGAAGGGATGAAAACGGAATACAAGCACATCAGTAGTATTTAAGGAAGCTGCCAGACCGAATGGCCACCATTAAGATTGAAAAATTCTAGAACACTTGTGTTTATTTTCTCTGTCTAGCTATAAGCTTTTAGTACTAACTAAAGAAGCACCCGTGGCAATGGTTTTCGAGATCTGTGGCAATGGTTTTCTACTTAGACTAGCCACAATGGAGAGTAACATACATTAGTAACATACACGTATTCCTAGACTATGTTACTACCTTCATAGTGCGTAGTAACATAAGTGTGGTAACATGCATAGCTTCATTTATTAGGTTATAGACTCATATTGCATTGGGACATGTGATGTTATAGTAACTAGCTAAGTTACTACTACTACCTCTCTCCTCATTAACTCATTGCCACATAAGCAAATTTGCTGAGTTGAACTCGATGTTACTGTTGAAGTTACTCCCACTGTGGCTAGTCTTACAGCAACTATGCTGATTACATTTACACCAGCCTCATTAAGAAGCAAAAATAACAGTTCATTTACAGCCTTGTTTAATGCTTTTATCATGTTTTGTTTCGATTTAATGAGGTAAGAAGCTACATGAAAATCTCACACTATCAGGTAAGATTACATCTAGTGACATGATTGACCAATTATTAATAGAACATGGAGAGGTTGCAAAAGTAACAAGTTGTGCACATAATTGATCTACCACAGTATAAATCCGGCTACGGCTGCCCAACAAAAAGGGGCTCAAATTATAATGCACTAAAATAAAATTGAGTCGAGTAGAGTGTAACATTCCACCTGAAAACGCCAAAAACAGGGAACTAACATTCCACCTGAAAAAAGAAAATGGAATTCCCTCTCTGCTAAATAAAAGCACTGGCGTAGAGAAAGAGAGAGAGAATCACACCAGATAAAATCCAAATATGCAAACAGCGCCATTTATTGCTTAAGACTAGTAGTACATTTGTGTAACTACCCCATTTCAAGCTAGTAGGATTTTAATTCCAGAAGTTATACGAAGCAGGCGTTAAATTCAAATTCAAATCATTGAAGGAAAAACATCAAATTCAGACAGGAATTATAAACTGATCGCTCAGATGCCCTCGGATTCAGAACAAAATCACATGGTTGAATTGATAAAGAGAAGCAGAGACAGACCTGGCACTGGGAGCGCGGCGGGGCACCTCGGGTTCGAACTCGACGGGCAGCCCCAGGAATCCATGGAACCTGTCAAAGGTGACATGCGCCACGTGCTGCACCTCCGTCGGCCACCCGATCTCCATCGCACAACCTTCGCCTTGGTCGCCCTCCTCCCTGCAACCGAGAAACGACTTCCGCAGCAGCGCAAGCAGCAGCGCCAAGAAAGACCACCGCTCCTCTTCCTCCGATCCTTGTACCTCTCGCTCAGTCCGTCCTGCGGATCCTGTAGGGCTCTCTCCGCTGCCGCCTCTCTGCAGCACGTCGCTGTCGGCATTGGCTAAATAGCGCAGGGAGGAGGAGGGGCCGCGGCTTGCGGGGGAAGCGAGGTTGGTCGCGCCCCGGAGAAGCGCCACCTCCGTCATTGCTTCCTCCTTTTCCCTGCCCTGCTCTGAAAATCTGGCCCTTGTGAGCTGTAATCTGGTGCGGCTTGGGGGCCGAGCCGAGTGGGGATTTCCTGGAGTGGGCCAAATGCAGCGGCGAGGAATGATTGGGGACTCTTGTAGTGGAGTTCTTGGTGGATCGCTCGCTATTCAAGACGTGTTTCTATGCTTGCGATTAGATGGGATCCAAATCCACGACGGAGATGCAACCAATGAATCGATTGAATGGGGGGAAACAATCGGAGCGCCGTGAATGTACGACGAAAGAAGGGATTTTTCTCAGCTCCAGACGGGGTCTTTGGCCCAGAAGAGATGCAATTTTTTTGAGCTGGGGGCGACCTAATCTAATCAGCGGGGATGTTTGGTCGAGAAAGGATGGGATTCTGAGGAGTTGGAGTTGGATTGAAGGGAGGGGGTGGGATTGGGATTGGGACCAGCTCGTCATCATTCCTCTGGTTAGTGTTCCTGCTGCCCCCTTCTTTTTAGGATGTGCACGCACGGAGGAACATGCTTCTCGCTTCTTGTTCACGCGTGCGCATTTCCTCTCTGTTCAGGCCTGCCATCCTCGTTCCTTCCCAAGGAAAGGTAATTTCTAAAGCATCTCCAACAAAATTAGGCCAAACTTCAACACAGCGGCCCAAGCGAACATCGATTTCGTCCTTTTTATCCGTTTGAGTTGTCAAAACAGACAGCAGATGCAGCCGGACAGCACATATGTGCCCAATGCGGAAGACGCATTTCAAACGGACAAGAAAGACGTGAACCAAGAAGTGAATCGTTGCCGGCGGTGGCGGAGCTACCCAGAAATTGTTGAGCGGGCCGAGCCAGCCCAACATGAAGGAAACACACATTTTTTCTCTCAAGAAGGCCTAATTTTTCATATACTCTTTAGTGTTTTGGACATGGGCTGGGCGGGCCATGGCCCATTTGGCCTTGTTGTAGCTCCGCCAATGATCGTCCGGCCAGGCGTGCTGTAGTTGCCATCGAGACGTGCGCCAAGCAGGGAGGACGCAGCCTCAAGCCCGGTGCCCCGTCAGACCGGCTACTACGGAGAGTAGCTGTGCACGGACAGATGCCAAGCCTCTGCCAGCAGGGACGGCGGGGATGCGCTGGATCTACGCCGTGAGCACCCACCTGCACCAGCGAGCACCTGCCCCATTACGCTCGCCTCGCCGCGGCGGGGGAACACGTGCACACCGTCGCGCACCACCAAGGACGGTCGCGCACCCGTGGCCACCATCAGTCACGTCGTCTGAGACGTTTCTACGCGTCGACTAGGAGGAGTTCAGGGGCGTCGCCATGGACATCCAGGAGGACTGTCGGCCCAACAACCCCCTCCTCCGGATCGTGCCGAGTGCCGCCTGTCGAATGGAGCGCGGCTGGCACCAATGATGGCTGGAGATAGTGTCCTCGAAGCCGAGAATGGCGTAGGTCGTCTGCCAGGCGTCGCGGCTGGCCGGGTTGCGTGGGTCGCTTCGGTGTCGCTTCCCTTACTCCTATTGCTCTTCCCCGCCCATGGTGCTCGTGCTGCTTGGGCGGCGTCGAACCTTGAATCCTCGGCAGGCCACGACGTCTCATCTCCTTAGAGGGCCACGACCAGCGTAAGAGGAAATTGGGAGAGGAAGGCATGCACCTGTGGCCTCGCTGGTGTGTGTGGCGGCGTCCTGCGCCGGTGGCCTCGCTAGTGCGCACGATGGCGTCCTGCGCCGGTGGCCTCGCCATTCCTGGTTGCGACGATCGTGGAGGCAGAGTCAGCTCATACTTGGTCGCTGATATGTAGGACCAAGGTGGACGCCAGTGGACGACGAGAGTGAAGCGAGCGCCCGTTTCTGTCCGTTCGAGACCCATTTCTCACCCAGATTTGCTCTCGGTTTGTGATGATACGGATAAGAAATAGACACAGGTGACTGTTGATACCTCCTTTTATTGATCCGGTATTGGAATAAAAAAAAGTATCCCACACCTACTTTCCCCAAAGATGAGCATGGGTTATCAAACCACGAGAGGAAGATTCCCTTTAAGCTATGGTCTCTAGCAAGCTTTTGTCAAAGTATCAAATCCAGCTTTTGACCGGACCAGTAAGCAAATAGTGATTCAAACACTTACAATAAAACAAGGTACAGGTATGAGATCTTATGCTTACAACCTTGTATTTACGCTGGGATCAAATAAGATATTAATTTATGCGCACCCATCGAGATGTGCTTGTCACAGATCAAAGTGGGCAATGTGTCCAAATAACATCTTGACCGGCACGAGTCCTGCATCAAGAATCAGTTGTCCCACCGCTGGCCATATCTGTCGCGCAGGGTTGCCTCGATGGTTAAGATAATAAAACCAGGCAAGAGCTTTGGGCGTTTAAGGACTACACCTCATTTACCCTAAAGGATATGACACTTCATGGTGTTCGTTATAACACTTCATGGTCTCCTTGCTCCTACCCTCACCGGTGTTCGATCTCCATGATCCTGGGTACCTGCAGGGATAAAGATTGCGGACAAGACAAGAGACATCTTCATGGAAAAAAATTATTTCACACATATGGGACATTATGTCAAAGTCTTATTGATCCTCTCAACAAATACCTTGGGTTGCAAGGCTTATGCCTCAACCCATACCTTACCGAATTACTCACACTGGAGATAAGATTGTGGGAAGAAAACATTGAAGAACACATCTTGAGATTAGTTGATTGCAATATGGCTTACTATGGATGCCTTGTGAGATGCACGATTACAAGTATGAATGAGATGGAAGAGTACTATGGTGGTGGTGGAGATGGCTATGGCGATGGAGATGGCGGCGGTTAGGGTTAGTGGATGAAGATGATGATGAAGAGGTTCTGCCTTCTGTGCTTGTCTCCCTATTCACATTTTGACGTGGTCCCTTTAACAGAAGTTGTACAGGTGGACGGTCTGCCTCAAAATCCACGCCAATTGAGCGCTCATATGGGCGCTCGCGCCAATATGGAACATCGTCTTTTGTGTTGTCTTTGCGCAGACGCTTCATGTTGATTTCTTCTTCCTCCATTCTCCTTCTATTCCATTTCCACACGTGATTTCTTCCCTTTTTATCCTATTTCCCGTGGGAACACATCAAAGAGAGGATTTGTGGGATCCTTTCCATTCATTAGTCATTACTACCAATATTGGAGCGAATATCTCTTTTTAATTGAAATATCTTGGTTTAAAAAAGGTGAAATGAGTGTAAAAATATCACTCATCAACTCCCCCAAGCATAAACTTGATCGTCCTCGAGCAACATAAAGAGAAAGCCGAATCATAAGGTACTCAGTTGTTTAAACCAAATAACGAGAAGGTTTTAGTTCACTTACAATCGGTACGCCTAGATAGCCCTTCGCTTTTTGACCTAGAAACTTAGCATAGCTGTAGCGGTGGCATGGTTATAGTGCAAGTGTTAGTAAAGCAAAGATAATCAACACAAAGTTCTTGATCCAGTAGATAAAATAACTTTACAACATTGTATTCTATTTATTCTAGACAAGACTTGCTTGTCAGGAATGCACGGAAGAGTTTTCTTTAGATAGAGCCAATAAGACATAGGTTAGGGAGTCAAAGCATGTAGTAAAATATAATGCTCTGATGCTCTTAAGCACACCCACAATCATTTCCTCCTCAAGGCTCTCAAGCACTTTATTTCAACCATCGTTTGCTGGAACTTTGGTTGTCACGTGAAGGGATTATGCCAACTAAGTGATCATGCATAGATTTTTGCTATGGCTTAATGTTTGGGAACTATGGACCTTTGATATATGTCTCTTTCAAGCTCTTTTGATCAGTCCCCTTTATTTACCACATACACACTATTTTATGAGAAAGCTGAATAATATGCGTTTGTAGTGTTACCACTACATACGGTAACAAACTCATAGCCGAAATCCAAGCTATCACTCTTTGTGGATTGTTCATTGGCCAGCAGAGTCCTCGGCACAACATCAAGAAAGGTGAGGAAGCCACATTTACACACGTACACATGCATAGAGTAGCGGGCCATGGCACCAGCAAGGAGCTGAAGCACCATGTAGAGATACAACATAGATTTTTGGCATAATCTCGTTCACCCTTCAACTAAGTTCCTCTAGACAATTCAATCCACAAGTGCTATCAAGTCTATTAAAATTAACAACATGGGGTTGAGCAATTCAAACATCACTTCCACTATAATTTTCTCAACCCCCAAGTCTTGAAAGACTTTCTCTTGTATAGTTATTCTTGGTTAATATCTTTTTCATTTGAAAATAGTCCCGCGGCAAGTCTTGGTTTTCTAAAATAAATAGAGCAAAGGCTACAAAATTATTTCAGCTACTAGAACAAAACCTTTGTCTTAACTATCAAAATTTACTCCCATCTGCACATATCACACATACTACTACTACATCTACTCTAAGTATTTCAAGTGCAAAAGACGGGGGTCGTAGGACATACCTTCACGGTTGTGAATTTACACACTTCTCTTCCTTATTCTTGCATTCCTCGTTGTCCGGTGTTGATCAACTCCTCTAAAAACAAAATGCAAACGAAATCCAAAGGGCAAGATAAAGAACAAGAGCAAAGTAAAGCTTATTCTTTTTTCGGTTTTTGGGTTTTTGAAAACTAACTTGCAACCAAAAAATTGCAAAGGCAAAATAAAAAGCAAAAGCAAATAAAGGCAAAGTATTGGGACAAACCAACACAATTGTTTTGAAGTTCCTCAAGCTTAAGTACAAACTCATTACATATTATTCAAATAACGCCACATCTTGATGTAGAAGTGGTGATAAACTCCCCCAAGCTTAGGCCTTTGCAAGCCCAAACCGGTGAGATCATTGCAGCGGTTGGTCACTAGCCCACTGTCGGTGTCAAAACCGGCGGATCTCGGGTAGGGGGTCCCGAACTGTGCGTCTAGGCCGGATGGTAACAGGAGGCAGGGGACACAATGTTTTACCCAGGTTCGGGCCCTCTTGATGGAGGTAAAACCCTACG